AGGGCTGGTTCATGGCTGGAGAGCACCAGGGCTGTAATAATATACGGTTGTATGCCGAAGGACACGACCTACTTATAAACACACGCAGAACATTCTAGCATGCTCTGGAAAAAAATTGTACTGGATATTCAAGAAATTCCGAGAACTTTCTTTCCAATCAGATAATATTTTTTTCTTAAAATGGTTAAGGTGTCCATGGCAGTGAATGTGTTAAGGAAATTATTGGCTGAAGGTTAGGTCGAAATAAAATGCTTACCTGTTGTGTGGGGCATTATACAGCCTAATTTAAATTTCATCTCTGATTCTCCCATTTTCAGGTTGAGGAGAGGAGGCGTTATCTCTTAGAGCAGGAGAAGGAACGCAAGGAGGCAATCATGAAGCGGAACCAGGAGCGGGATGTACGGCTGGAATCAAAGCGCCGCAATGAACAGAGTAGCATAGTGTTTGCATTTGGGAGTTCTACCCCACGACTGGCAAGTGCCACAGCCACATCTCGGGACCTTCCCCTTTGTGGTGCCCGGCGCTCTTCCTCCACCTTCAACATGGACTCTCCAGATGGCTCTGGGGACAAACGTCGGGCTGCTAGTGCCCATCCATTTGAACGGAAATCTGGTGAGATTCCTTCCAAGTTTCTTGTAAGTAATTAATATATTTTAATTGTAAATTAAATACATGAGAGCAATACCCTTTGTTTTCATGCAATTATCTCAAATTTGAAGTGAAACTTTGACCTACAGGAAGCAAAACGTGTTATTCCAGCTTCCCATCCACTCATCATAGATGTTCAATTGTGAAATCAAGGTTTCCTCATTTAAATTATGAATATTTTGTTGGCCTGAAAGTATATTAATGAATGGAAATATGGTGAAATATAAAACTGCCTTTGGATCTAGGTGCTGAAGAGGAAATTAAAAGTTATGCAATTAAATATGAAATTTCCAAGTAATGAGAACAACTTTCCTAGTACAGTTATAATGAGCAATTTTAAGTCATTGTGATGTAGTCCAGACCATGTTCATGATTATTGCTAGCTAAAAATTATATTGGAGAGTTAAAAAAAAAAAATTATTTATATGCTTTCATTTAAAGAAGGAAGATATATAAAATAAATGTGTTTACATGCATATTAATTGATGTGTTTTTGAAGAGGCTGGTTGGGTATTCTCATAATTTGGTGGCCAAAAATTTCTCAAAATACCATATCTCATTATTATCATCTTGGAATGTACATGGCAGCTTTGACTTTTTTTTTCAAATGATCAGTATTCCTCAGTCTCTAACTGTGCTGCCACACTTTGTTTAGACTGAGAGGGATACACAAAAGGGAATATCTTGTAATGGCACTACTTAGGGAAGCTGCTGATCCTCCCACATCATGCAAGATGAATGACATGGCTTGCTCACAAGGGAATTGCATGCCAACTGGATTTAATGAGAGGAGGGTTAGCTTCACTCACTCTCCCTCAGGAAAATTATGCCTCTCACTCATGTAATATGCACATAAGGAATGGATGTTTTTTTTTTGTTGGCCCTTTTCACGTAGAATGGGAGAGCACATCCATGTATGAGATCTTGCATTGGGGGGAGGCACCGAAACACATTCAATTGTTCTCACCTGGCTGTGTTGATGGTGAAGGGATTGGGGAGGGTGAGTCTCCAAACATGCTACTTGAGTTCTACCTCACATTCGCACCCATCCTTGCATGGATTGCATGTTGTCTTCTCCCCTTTATCCCCCTTCTAACTGTATGCCCATTTGCATGAGGTGAAAATTTGATATAAGTGTGCATGAATGGAGCTTCTGCATTTTTACTGAAGATTTTTCATTTTGCCATGTTGCACATTTATGCTTATTCTATGGAGTAATAACATAAGTTGAATTTGTCTTCTTGTACTAATAAGCAGTACTGATGGTTATTGGGTCATTCAAGATTGACAAGGATGAAGAACTCATGGTCATACATCATTCATAGACTGTTCTCATCTATTGGCAGTATCTTCATTTGTGTCCATCATTATAGCAGATTTAGCACAGAGACTATTTCAAGCTTCATGTCTGCTTCACAGAACCATAACTAGTGTTTACTTACTTTTGTATTCATCCAAGTCTGTGAACCTGCATTTGGGTGTGACCCTCATTCCAGTTTTCCTTGTGTGTTACCTTTGTCTTGTTGAAGACTGGAAGGAGTTTTACTTCATTGTTTCTCTAGTCATAGGAGGCTGTAGACATGAATCTTGGCATGGGGTATCCTGGTCTTGCACATCTGTTATCTTGTTTTGAATTCAGCTGCATTTCCATATGTGTCACAGTTTTCAATGAAAAATATATTGTTAGGCTAATAAACTGTACAGAAGCCAGAAATCTTGTATTGAATATTTCATAAACAATCATGCAGTATGTTTTTATAGATCTAAGACTCCTGAGAACTTCATATCTGCTTCACACAACCCTATTTTTTCAGTCATTAAGGTTTTATAACAATGTTCATCAGGCTGAAGTTTTGAAATGGGGGAAGAAGTTGTACATTCATAGTGCATCAGTTAAAACCAAGAGTAAGCTAGAGAAAGAAAACCTGAGGAACCTCATTCAAGAGGATCTACCATTCTTGTTGGAATGGGCTTGCATGTCTCTCAGCCTCCTTGAAGAGTTGATGTTTTATAAACATCTATATTCCATAATCTTGGATCAATCATCTTATCATAATGGGCCTCAAGTTATTCTTGTTTTTTTTTCTGAAAAAGAGACTATATCTAGTGAGGTGCTTCATGTGGAAGATGCTTTTGAAAAATTATTCAAATTTGAATTTAGTTTGGAATGACATTAAAGTAAATTTTAAAATACTTTTTGCCCAGCATGAACACTTCCACTGTTCCTGTTCTGCATGTCAAATGTAATAGCATCTGCTTTCCTTAGTCATGCTGATACTGGCACAGTGATGCTCATGAATGACTTTTCTTCTTCAGGAGACTCAATGACTCAGTCCATGGTGTGTCTGAGCGCTTCAAGAGGCCGGCGGAAGACAGACCTCATCCCAACATTGCCATCACCTTCCACAACCTCACCTCGGTTGGCCAAGACCCCCACACCAGAGTCTACTCAAGCACCGACATCTCAGACGAAGAAGGCAGTGTCCATGTCCCGCCTGGATGTCCTAGCTCGCCCTCGCCGTCGGCCGGGCTCAGCTCAGCCAGGCCAGGATCAATTGCAGTCTGGGGAGCTGACCCCCAGCAAGAGCACAGGAAACCTGAGTCCTCGTCAGGGTTCTTTGTCAGCTCCTCGGCTCACAAGGGCTGAGCGCCTGCGGCAGAGGGCTCGGCTGAAGCGGGAAGAGAGTGAGAGGAGACAGCATGAAGATGGTTGGCCTGTTTACTCAATTTTTAGTGCTTTTTTTTGGATTGGAAGGGATTCAAAGAGGATGACAAGTTCCTTTTCTTGCCTAAAGCACCTGTTATGGAGGGACTATTACTTTGGCTTCAAATGAATTTTGGGATGCCCAATAAGATTTAACATATCAGTAAAGGTTTTTCCAATCAACTAGCTATCTTTGAATTTGGTAATTCAGTTTCTTCCATTTTGCCAGGATGAATTTCTTTCAAATTCTTTGCAATGAAGAATGTGACTAATGCCTGGAATAGCTTGTTCTATTGTAGAAACTTTTCCATTTCCTCAAATTATGGTTTTGTGCTGTTTCATGCTGATCATACCAAAATATTTGTCTTGAGATAGATATTTCAGTCTAAGCTATTGTATTTGACAGGCATTGTGAGTGGGATGACAAGCCCATCAACACCATCAAGACCCCAGTCAGCCATGAGCTCCGCATCTGCAAATCAATCGCAGAGTGGTGGAGTGAAGATGAGACCTCGACCAACTTCTGCAACGAGGAAGCCTCGACCAGTCTCAGTTGCTGGCTCCATGCCTTCACGGGACCTTCAGAAGGAGAAAGGTCTGCCTGTTGTAACATGTTAATTTTTCACATTTAGAGCTGCACCAATGTTGATAGCTGTATCAGCTGATGATTGATATACTTGTGGCACTTGATACAATCATTGTGGTCCATTGGCTGGTGTAGAAGGCACCGACAGGAATAGACCTGAATAGCCTAAGATGACCGATAAACTTGTAAAATCAATAGGACACCTGAAAATACTCAAGTGTTTGGATTAGTAGGCCTGCTTGTGTATGCAAATTTGATATTGAGTAATCAGAGTGTCAGGAGAATTTTGGTTCTAATGTATCTCTATTGCTGCCATTACCTTTTGGTCTGGAGGGGCCTGCTTTTTTGAGTATCACTTTGGTCAATTGGCAAGGTCTTCTTTGGAGACACTTCTCAAAGTCATGAAAATGACTCTTTTAAATGATTATCCCTGTTGTGAAATAAAGGCATTGAAGAGGTATAATGGTCCTTGCGCAAATCTTCTGCAGTTGGTGTGGGGAAGCAAAAGAGTGCTGAAGAAGTGGAGATACCCAAGGAGGATACCAAGAAGGAAGGGTTGAAGCGCCCTCATACTTATATGAAGAAGGTTGATGTGGGAAAGGAGAAGCCAGTGAACAAGGATGCTCGAGTTAAGTCTAAGAAGGCACAGGAGAAGGCAGCCTTGTCTCCGGAGACACATGAAGTAAAGATGGTGGAAAAGGTACCGGAGGCTGAGAAGTTGGAGATCAAGGGAGAAGATGATGAGACAAGAGGAGAGAGGAAGGCTGAGGAGAAAGTAGAAACTTGCATAGCCTCTGCATCTGAGGATTTGCTTCCTATCAATGTGTGTTTTGCTTTATATTCAAATGATGTTTTCCTTGGAAGTTTTGATTTAAATTTTATTTAAGACATTGAAGAGGGACTGGAATTGCCAATTGACTGATTTTTGGGACTATTGGTAGTTGCTGTCTGAAAAGTTGATTATTTTAAGCTATTTGTTTTTTTATTGCTTATGTTTGCATACAACACTGGCAAACTGACTCATCTCTAGAGACGCTGCTATTTTGAGTCTTCAGTCATTTCATTCATGTAGTTTGTTGAAGGACTGAAAATGTGATATCAAAAGGACAAAGTAGCATTGGTTTCAAGTTTTGCTAGCAGTGATAGTTCTGTGTACAATAAAATCACTGTATACAATGGAAAGAGCATTGTGCTTAAGTCATAATTGGTATCAGCTAGTGCAACTGAAAGTAAATGAAGTATCAGCCAGAATATCATATCTGTACATCCCTGTCATGAATGACTTGGGTTTAGTTATCTTGTATCCAATAAGGACAGCATTCCATGATTTGTTCCATGTCTCCATGTACATGGATTTGCTGAAGTATTGAGATTCTGCATGCCGACTCATCATTTTTGCTTGAAATTGTTGCAATTTCAGTCCAAAGCTGGCAATATATGTTGCTGAGTTACTTTATTTGTTGCAACATCCTCTTTCAGGGAGAAATCAATGAGGACTCAGGAGAGAAGAAGGAAATAGGAGATCCTGCTACCAGTGAGTTTTGGTTCAGAAGTTATTCGTAGAGTTACTGAATGGTTAGATGCCCTGTTCTGAGGATGTATTGACCCTCTGAAGGTATAGGAGGAAAAGGGAGGATCACAACAGAGGAGGAAGCTAAAGCAGCTGTGGCAGAGAAGCGAAGGCAGGCGCAGGAGGAGCGAAAGAGGAGGGAGGAGGAAGAACGTCTGGCTGAGGAAGAACGGATTCGGCAAGAGGAAGAAGAGAGGAGAAGGTGGGAGGAGGAGCAGGAAAGGCTAATCGAGGAGGCTAGGCGGGCTGAGGAGGAACGGCTCCAGAGGGCTATTGAAGAGGTCTGTACCCTTGCTTGTTGCCCATAAAATTTTATGGAAGGACTACATCTTGCAGAATCTAATCTTAGTTCATCGCTTGTAAATCCTTTAGCACTGTGAGTGTACATGAATTGCACCCAATTTGTTTTGTACATTAGGACACCAGGATTCTTTTGATCCAAGTTCTTGTGACCTGTTTGGTATGGCTATGTTCTCATTATCACCTCTTTCTGTTTAGGATTTTAAGATTGGATGTAATGCATTTGCTTCAGTTGCACTACCACATTATAAACAATTGAGCATATCAGAGACTGACATGACAACAGGTTACTAAAGCAGTACAGAATAGACCAGAATTTAGTGAAAAACTTGAGTGCAGAATGGTCCCTTTGTTGAGTATGGTTAGCTTTGGTAAGAGTGGAGAAATGGCATAATTTCTGTTCATTTAAAGTTTTTATTATTAATGGAGAGCTGCTGTATACCATATTTACTCGAGCGTAGTGTGCCACCATGTATAAGATGCATCTGTGTAAACATATCTCTTTGTTCTGGCACTGTTTGCCAGTTTTTGGTCTCGAAAGGATGGTCTATGTGTAAAACTAGGATGATCGAGATGTGAACCTGTATGATTGCAAGAGCAAACAGGATCTCCCATAGAAAATTTGATGCATCGTGAGGATGAACGGTGCGATTCATGAAGCAAGTTGGATTTTCTCCTCATTGGAAAACCTCAGTGGCTCAAAAATTTCCACAAGAAATGGTTGTCTCTGGAACAACCCCTTGGAGGAGGATGAGAGCTCCAGGAATGAATTTTCCATGCTGCCAGACACTTCAGATTCTGATTCCAATAACGAGTCGAGTCTGTGAATTGATGTAGCCATTCCCTGTTTACTGTTTTATTATTATTATATTATATTTTCCCTGTTCTGACTGACTACAGACACTGTTTCTGCTCTCAATAAGTGACCAATGAGTTATAGGTATACTGATAAAAATTTCTTGAAAAAGAGAAATTTTCCCCCCAAATATGACACACAATAAAATATGCAAAAAAAGTACCTTATACACATGTAAATACATTATTTTAACAGTAATGTCATTATTAGGTGAAATTTTAGGGCTTTTCCTGTGATCTGTTTTGAGTAGAGCTGTACTGGTGCCTGATGATGGTTGATTGTGACTTGTAGATAAAGAATGAGCAACCTTGATATAAAGTACTTATTCAAATTAGCCCTTTAGGAAGCCATGTTCTACTTTTTAGTGGCTGTCTTGATGACTTTAAAAAATGTCACAGTATTGACCAGAACTATAGATGAGGCGTTGATGCATCACAGGTGGGGGGAGGGAGGGGGGGCTGGCAGATTCAGTCATCTCTTGCTGTGATTGGACAGGGGCTTGACTTCTGTTGTTCCTTGCCTCAATCTGGGTGCATACCTTTATCCATCATCATTTGTCATCCATGATTGGGTTAGGTGTGACCATGCCAATGGGTACTTAAACCATCAATTCTTCCAACATTGATACATTGATTGTTGCATTATGACAGTCTTACCTTCTTTCTGTCACTGTTGAGAATTATCATTTACACAGCCCCTTTCAAGCATTTACTTTTATTTTTTTTGCACATTTTTCTGTCAGCATTGGCAGCTTCCTAACTTACCAGTGGTACCATACTGGTGATTTATCAGTGGTTGCTGATGCATCAGTACAGCCCTAGTTTCAAGGTATTCTATTGAGAGAAGAGTAGAGGTCAGTCATACACCCAGCAGTGCTATCATAACACTTTCAGGGCTATGCCCATCATATTGAGGTATATAGATGCAAAACATCAGATAGTGATGACAGCTCCACGAGACACCATGTTTAGTCCAAGTATCTTTTCATTCTCTGCCTCCCTATTGCCACAAATATAAATATTTTTGCATGGGACAAAGAGTGAGAAAACTCAATAAAATAGGCCTATCCCCTTTCCCAGAGAGATCTCCCCATCCTTCATTTAAAAATGCATTGATTTTCATGGTAACTTGAATCACTTTCATGCTGATGTGACTGCCAATTCTGCCTTATACCATGGCCATGGTCTGGTGGCCATGGAAATGATGCTAGAAGATGATAGGGCTGATTGATGGCAATATCAGAAATGGTGAGAGATTGGAATTCCATATCATTAAGTCAAGATCATCTGTAGCTGACTTAGCTAGGAACTTTGTGACTGCCACACAGTGACCTGACTACTGTGCTGGCATTGGATTACCTGTGGTTGTGATACAATGCAGTTAATATTCAGTCATCCACATCGAGTCAAATTTTGACTGTCTTCACATATGCATGCTGCACAGGTAATACTTGGAATGACAGGAGCCATATTTTTTTTTAGTGATATCACCTCTATCAGTATTGTCCTTTGTTCTTGATATCCTGAATCCTATTGGAGATGCTGACTCAATTCATATTTGAGACTCTAAACATTAAAACAGTCTGTAGGTGTTCTTGAATACTGCCTGTTATGAATGTAACTGTTGTTCATAAAGCAGGAAAGTCTACAGATGCTACTTGCTCACTGCCAGGATTAGAGCCTTATGTGTACACTTTGTGGTGTGTAATTTCTTCACAGTTGGCTCCAGTTTATTATCCTAATTGCACTCATGAACCATTCTCTTTTTTTTTTGCTGTATAGGCACAGCGGAAGGGGGAAGAGGAGCAAAAGAGGCGGGAGGAAGAAGCTCGGCTGAAGGCAGAGAAAGAAGAGGCAGAGAGGCGGGCACGAGAAGAGAAAGAGCGTCGAATGCAAGAGCTGGAGGAACAGCGGAAAAGGGAGGAGGAGGAGCGGCTGGCCCGCAAGAAGAAGCTGGAGGCGATCATGAGCCGCACCCGTAAGGGAGGTGGTGGACCATCCTCCTCTAGCCCTACCCCATCTCCATCTCAAAGTGGGGTTGCCCTCTCCTCCCTCGACTCCCAAGAAAGTGGGAAGGATGTGTCTTCCTCACTTTTCAATGGTGCTCCCACTTCTCTCAGGTATGGATGAAACAGATTTCAGGGTAGATTTACAGAAAATAGTTCATATGTGTAAAATGCTATTCCAAATAAAAATGTGAAGTTTTCTTTTTTGGAAGATGACTTTGCTTGTTGAATGTCAGCTCTGAGCTGAACTGACTGGATCTGAGCTGGATTGACTGAACAGATTGACTGGAAATGCATTTTATGTTTATTTGCTCCAATAGCTTCTGTAGCTTCCAGGCACAACTAGTGGTAATATGAAGTTGATTTTGCAAAATGTGAATTTTTCAGTTCCTTAAGATGTTAGATGTAGTCTTCATTTAATTGAGAATTCACTGAGTATGCTGCTGTAATTGAGGGATCTGAGGAGATCATCTTTTGACTGCAGGGAAGAGGACCAGAATGTGAAGAATGGTGGAGGTGCTGAAAGTCCATCAACCATGAAGAATGGAGGACTGGAAGATGGAGAGAAGTCATCAGAGGAAAATAATGCCATGCTTCTACCGCTCATTCATCCCCTAGATGCAAAACAAAAGCTCATGCCTTCTGGTCAGCCTTTCTTTGATAGCCCATCAAGCTAGCAATGCTAGAGATTTTCCAGGAAGTAGGAATTTCAGTGATTGTGTGTTGGGCCTTCCATTTGGGCAAATAAGTCTTATTGATACTTGATGAGAAGATGGGGAAGGGGGGGAAATTCTAAGGTCCCTCAACCATGAGCAACCTAAATTGACCACTTCTTCCCAAGTAATAAGCAGATAGGATTCATATAAGTCTCAACTTCAGGTACAGTATTGGGAGATTTTGTATCACTGTCCTTTTACTGCAGAATATGGTACATTTTGACTTCTGCACTCACTTTCTTGTTGAAAAATTATCTGACTTCTTTGCATATGTTTTGAGTGATAAGCTCATTCTATTAGGTATCCCATCTTTAAAGTGTATGGCTCCAGCAAGATGGAGAAACTTGGGAATCAGTCCTATGGTTTACCTGTGAAAATGAGACTTTTATGTTGCATGACCTCTGGAGCTGCCTTTATATGAAAAGTCTGAAGTTTTTATCAGTCTTTTCTCTGGAGATTAAAGTCTGAGGTGAATATGGCTACCTTTATTACCCCTCTCTAAATGCAATTCCTTAAGAATTCCTTTCACTGGTTGAAGGAGTGGAGTGGCTTGAGTTATATGATTACAGATTTGCATTATGTAATAAAATAATAGCAACAGGTGGGTAATGTGTTGAATTCCTTGGAACTGTATGAATCCTAGAGATCGACTGATATATCAGTTGTCAACATTAAAAGAAAATTCCACTATAAATCTGGAACTTGAAAATGTGACCACCACCAGCTTTTCCATTTACCCTGTGGAAACCCTGGTATGCATAAGTAAGGTTGCCATCCGAAAAACATGAAGACATGGATCTCCAACTGCTTCCTGTTCTTGGTTTGTTACATAGACCTACAGGGTGGCCCATAAGTCCCAATCAGTTATGATAAAAGTTCTGAAAAAATCCACCAAGGCATTGAAACTGATGGCTCCAATGTGCATGCACTTCACTGTCTTTCCTCACCACTAAGAAATGTCAGCAAACCATTCATAAAGTTGTCATTTGTTGGTTGTTTGTAAAGGAACAAGTGCACAAAGTGTGTATGCATAATGTGGAGGAATTGAGAGCAGCCATCCACAATGCATTTACAAAGATTACCCCTGAAACGCTGAGCAAATGTCGCATAGAACTTTGTGTTATGTATGATGGAGCTCACACTGACATAATCTATTAGTAGGGAAATTATTTGTCTTGATGGTTGTATTTTTCACCTAGAATAATTGATAAATATATCTAAACTTATGACAAAAATTTTTTATTTGATTTAAATTTCATTTTCTCTTTAATTACAACCGATTGGGACTTGTGGTCCACCCTATAGACCTATTCATAGCTGTGGGATTCATCAAAATGGAATAGCTAAGTCCTACAACAAAGACAGTAGCCCCTTTTCCATAGGCCTCAGTCAAACCTTGCATTGTACGTCTTCCAGACACCCCCCTCTTAGGGAGGTTTGTGTTCCCAAACATCTAGTTCCTTAAACATTTTCACTAATAGGCTTGCATAAGCAGTCATGATGACGTTCTTTGGAAAATTTGAGCAAGGGCTCATGAATGCGATCATGTGTGGATAAAGAACGAAAGTTTCAGGAATCCTGAACAAGCCACTTGAAGTTTGCATTCTGCTACCGCTTCAGAATTCATTGTATTATTCGTTTCTATTTTCGTTCCCATTGAGATGGAAACGGGGTCAGGAAAGTGTTTCATGGGACATGTGGCTTCACTGAATGATGAAGCAAAGGTGAAGGGAGGGACTTTCAAGTGCCGGTAGTGCACAGGGAAGGTCCATAGGAGCAAGACAATCGGGGAGGTGGGTGTGTGCAAGTTGTACAAAGCCTAATGAATGCATCCTGCCATGGGAGTTGTGGCTAGGGAGTTCTTTAGTGCACCATGCACATTGTCCCGAGTGAAAGAATATTCAAATGAAGAAAGGCCATGCAGGCTCAGGTGTAATTGCAAGTTGCTCTTTATTAAGGAACGTTTGAAACAAATCAACCTCTGCTGATGACCGAATCAATATAATTTTGTTTCCGTCTCATTTAATGCATAAATATCAGCCAAAATCATATCGGCTGCAAATATAGGTAAATATTGAAATTGGAGTGATTGGTAAAATTAATATCGGTTGATCTCTAAATGTGTTTGCCTGTATTGCAGATTTATGTAACCATGTAACATATTAGCATGATTGAAACATGGGGTTGTATCTTGGGTTGAATTCTTTCCGCAGATTAATTTGATTAAATACTTTCATTACAGATTTATTGTCGTGAGGAGATATTCTGCATCACTGGTATCACCGTCGTATTGTGTGTTTGCAATCCAGAGGAAGAATGTCCTTGTAAGCGTGCATGTATCTTTGATTGGAGCTGCTGCCTTGCTCCAGCCCAGCTTTGATTCTTTTTTTTTGCCCCTTGACCCCACTTCCTTGTCATCCTCTTCATCTCATCTTGTGGTCCATCATATTAGTGATAATTATTGGACATAAGGTTTTTGAGAATGAGGATAAAAAATGCCTTTTACAATGTGATACTGGCTCTCATTTCTATTGCTGTATATCAGACAACATACTCCCATCTCACCAGTGGAAAGAACAGGTTGAAAGTGACTTCCAAGACCAGTCAGTCTTTGGATGGTAATTGCTATAAAATGCAGACAAGAAGATTCATTGAGTGAAAGAAATGGGAAAAAAGACTCGGTCCTGTGAATCCAGTGTATCTGCCTTTTTTCTAATTACAGTGAACTCTATATACCGCCACTGTTGGTCTCGGCCGATTTTGGCGCTAAATTGAAAGGCATGATTTTAAAATTGAGAATTTTCTCCTAATTTATATAAAATATGGACCAAATTTTCACTTTAATTTATCCACGCTGCCAATGGTCCGTGCCTCAGAATACACCAACTACACAGCTTCGAAAAATGATTCTATCTATTCCAAACATGAAATCCAATTACTTCTTTCTTTTTTTTACCCTTTAATGCATGGCGTAGCAGATATGCTACATACCAAATAAACATTTTTAGATCGCGTAGGTAGCGAGCTTCTGTGGCAAATCTGTTTGTAGCTGATGTGCAACAGTCCGGTCCTTATACCCAGCAACCATGCGGTCACTGGGTGCCATACACTCCTGATGGCAAGCAAATTAAAACCACCTGGCTTCGTCGTGTGACAGATTGACGTTTTTGGTGCAATTATCTTCAACTTGACGCTAATCCAGCGTCCAGGCTCATCCGTATTTTTACACTTTCTTTTGCGTTGAGATATGTACGAATGTTGACGGATCGACTGAGCTCTCTAGCGTCCATGCAGCGTGGGTGAGAGGGCTGAAAATGCTGTTTGTAGCAAATGAGCAACAATAACATTTTCGGGCCTACTGCTTACAAATTTGTGAAAAGGGAAAAGTGGAAATTAAAATGGAAATTAAAATTTCCACTTTTCCCGTGTTCTATGACGTAAGTGAAGCCTACCAAATTTTTTTCACCGAAAAAAATAAAAAATCATGCCTTAAGAGGTTAAGCTAATCTGTCTGCTCACATTATTGTTCCAAAGCACTGAATAATATTTCGCAAGGTTTTGCTGACTTTCGACCATGTTCGCTTCCTTCTTACGGCACACTTCCAAATTTTCCTTTACACTTAAAACCATCCTTTTCCCCAACACTGGATAGTGAATAAACTTGAACTGTCGCCTGGAGAAGCTGCGTATCTGATCACTCCTCTGTCCCTGCGGAATTGGAAACTGGAAGAATTTTGTAAACGTTGCTTGACACCAAGAGACTATGGAATGTTTCGAAATGGCATTGGTTTCGCAACTTCCCGCGGCAAGGACCCGTGTGACGGATCAGGAGGAACATTGAAGCGACTTGGCACAAAGGTAGTTCTGCAGAGGCAGCCCATGGCTCTGATGTTATACCGGTGCATGTTATGAAGGTCGTCCACTAAAATGCTCATATCTCTGTTGATATTCAAAAAACCAAATTGAAATTTGCGGTGTACATAAAGGAGATCATGACGGATGATCTAGAATTTTAGCGAAATCGAATGTGAGAACGTAGGTCCTGGTCAAGTCAAATTTAAAGGTCATTACAAAGCAAGTAGGCTAAGGTCATTGCTTAAATCACCGTGTGTTACATATCGTCTGATATGGAATTTTATAATCTATCCAACGATACCATATTCACGTGTTTATCTTCATTATTAAGGGAGTTATGATCCCTGGGTCCGAAGTACCCCAAAGCTATCGAATTTGTGATTGTCTGTCATTCTCAGAATGCATAATGCATGGAGCTGAAATTTGCTGTAGTTTGTTTTCTCAATAGGTACTATCGGCATGTCGAACTTCATAGAAATTGGAGGGGGTCGGGGAAAAAAGCGCGCGGACTGACATGGAAGCCTACGTGGGTCATTCCAAAAGTTTCTTTCGCTCTCTTGCTGTATTGTTACCTTGTAAATTTGGAGCCTGAAATTATCAAACTTAAATCTGTGACTCATTGTCATATCTTTCCATATTTCAGATATTTGTCAGTTATCTTAACGGAGGTTATTGCTGGAGTTGAACCATGTCTACTTTTGACCGTTCATTTTTACAACAATCATTCAGTCGGGATGACGTCAGGACAATAATTAAATTCTATGTGATACTGGAAAAATCTAGGAGACTGTTCGCCATCTAACCAAACGGTCTGACATTGATACCGTCCGATAAGCATCCTCCGAACTTGGTCACATGAGATTTTCGGTAAGAACGTGGAACACCATGATTTTAGACATGCCCAGTCTGTCAGCAAACTGTTCACATGTCTGCCGTCTGTCTTCCTCAAGGGCTTTACGAACACAACCCACCATATCCTCGGTGGATGCTTTCACAGGACGACCAGAGCGACTTGCATCATGTATTGATGCGCAACCTTCCTTAAACTTACGGTACCAATGTCGGACAGTTTGGATAGATGGTTCATAGTGTCCTTGAGCCGAAGT